GTTTATGTTTATTGTGTCCAGGAGGCTTAGGGAGTAGAAGCCATCTTCTGGTGTCTTGCCCGTATACTATTTGTGTGTTGGAGCAAAGCTTAAAAGGTCTCTCGGCGCCAGCTGCAGGGGACTAGGACAACATTGTTACTTGGTGTGAGTAGCAGTGGAGTATGAAGAACCCAAGGCATTGTTTGTGCATGTTATTGTGGAGCACAGCCCTCAACCATATTTGGCGAGAAAGATGCACTAGGCTCTATGGTAAGAAGACCATTATGCCGCCAGGAGAGTTGATGAATGTAATTCATTGTGATGTTTTGAGCGACTGGGGATCCTATTCTTCAGACCAAGTTGGAGTCTATAGATAGATTATAGTTATAGAGCTTACTCCATTATAGTGTTGTTGTCCTTTGCTGGGGTGGTTTTTGGTTGTACTGTTTTGAGAGGCACATTAGGTTTTTCTGATGGTTGCCTGAGCTTAATGCAATTTTTGATTTCTCATAAAAAAACTAAACTGACATCATTTGGTTTTGAGGCAAAAAATTGATCATGTCGATTATCGCTCCCATCATCGCTTTAAGTATACCGGTCGGTAATTACTTTATCCAATCCTCGTAGTTATTCCACATCTTCATTAATTATTAGATTATAAATTATTGCATTTATTCTCTCTTCCAATGCAGCTTCTACTGCTACACTTTCACTTTCACCCTCAGGTTCTTAATCATATTTTACAAAACTTACTTATTTTTCCCTACTCGCCACCCGACTTTAATTACCTCATTACAAACATGCTATTATGTATTTGTAGTACAAATTACATATTTCAATTCACGTATATTTATGGGTGTGGGCGGTATAAATTGTATTCCAATCTTACAATTATTCAATCTTGCTTTTATATTAACTTTGCAAGTTTACTACGATTATAATATCAATAGTTATATATGCTAATATGTGATCTTTGTTATTTAAATTATAGATTCCCTACATTTAAGATTGTGCTTATTACATTTTTGTGAGTTAGACTAATACACATTTTGAAAGATAAAAAATAGTGTGACTGGTGTTTTTATTGAAGATTGGGCAATATGCAATTCCAACTGATATCTGATCTCACAACTCAAAAGTGGAACTGAATTCTTCAATGTTGGGTTTCGAGTAAGTGGTTAGCAAACAATCCCATCATAGATGTTCTTCGTCTTGATATGATAGTTATTGACTCAAAGATAAACAACAACACAAACTCAAACTCTATGATTCAAGTCTTGGACAATTATTGATACGCCTATTTTTCAAAACTTATTTATTTTTCCCTACTCGCTACCCGACTGTAATTACCTCAGTACAAACATGTTATTATGTATTTGTAGTACAAATTACATATTTCAGTTCACGTATATTTTATGGGTGTGGGCGGTATAAATTGTATTCCAATCTTACAATATTCAATCTTGCTTCTATATTAACTTTGCAAGTTTACTACGATTATACTATCAATAGTTATATATGCTAATATGTGATCTCCGTTATTAAAATTATAGATTCCCTACATTTAAGATTGTGCTTGTTACATTTGTGTGAGTTAGACTAATATACATTTTGAAAGATAAAAAATAGTGTGACTGGTGTTTTTATTGAAGGTTGGGCAATTTGCAATTCCAACTGATATCTGATCTCACAACTCAAAAGAGGAACTGAATTCTTCAATGTCAGGTTTCGAGTAAGTGGTTAGCAAACAATCCCATCATAGATGTTCTTTGTCTTGATATGATAGTTATTGACTCAAAGATAAAGAACAACACAAACTCAAACTCTATGATTCAAGTCTTGGACAATTATTGATACACCTATTTTTCTTAGGGTAATGATATTTGGGTGCGAATTCCCAAAGGGCATAGGGCCCAAATCAGCAGTAGAAGAAGAAACAAGGACTTCCAGCCTCTATTTCATGATCAAAGAGTCTACACTATCAAGAACTTTAAGGTCAATATGACAACGAGAGATTACAAGCCAATTCCAAACAAATTCGTCATCAAGTTTCAATCAACTACCGAGGCCGAAGCATGCAATGATATTCCTAACATACCAGCTTACAAGTTTTATTTCATCAAACAAGATAAGATTGACCAGAAGTGCAGTCAAACGAAATTCCTTTCAGGTTCACGTTACTAATCTCAATTGTAATTTAATTCAATTTTATGTGTGTACAACCCAAAATATTAGCTTTTAAATGTTTTCATTCCACATGTGTTCTTGGTAGCTTATTCAATATTCAGATTTACTGACATCTACTAGACTCAGTGGAAAAGTTACCCGCAAAGAGATGCAACTAAAACTTTCCGAGTATGTAATTACTTTAGCAATCCATTTAAAATAGCCTACATTTCTCTACCTCTAATATATAATTTGGGTACATGGGATTTGTTGTCAAGATAACTGTATTTGGTAGAATAGTTACACAATTAAATGTCATCCTTGCAAATGCGGGAGATTGTCCTCTCATCATGGTCACTACATCATTATATATCGTTCCTTACAATGGTAAATAAACATCTAAATTACTTTACTATTAATTAAGATATTTCCGTACAAATTAGAGACAACTAATTAATTGATATTCAAATAAATATGCAGGCGAGAACACCTTCTCCTCACGTGGAGCGACCTTGTTGGTGGCAAGTCCAAGAATTTTGGAAATCATTAATTTTGGGCCAAAGTGAAACTCATGACATCTTTATTATTGTATTTGTTTATCGGTTATAACTTTTAACTTCAAAGAACAAATAGAGCTTAATTGACATGCTTTTTTGGCGAATAAAGTGGCAGTGATGCACTAATTCCTCTAATAAAAAGCACGAGAAAAACTCAGCAGTCAATCCCAAGCAAAACACTACATTAGGTCAATCAATTAAAAATGAAAGATGGAGAAGAGGTAAGGATCATTTTCGATTTAACAAGCCATTAACTCTCAAATACTAACACTTTCTGTGATATGTAGGAAAATATGTTTCCATCAAATGTAAAGTTTTCAAGGTTAAGAATGGGTGGTGCTATGTTGGATGCGAAACTTGTCCACAAAAGCTCGAAGAAGACTCTGACGAATACTTCTGTGGGAACTGTACAAAGACATTAAAAATGACAACATCAACGTAATACAACCATTATTAACATGAAATTTTATTAAGTATAGTCCGTTGCTGAATATACATGCCAAGTGATTGAATATGTAATTTGCCAAAATATAAAAATTTATATTATTTTACATACAATTCAAAGATTATCACATCAATATGCAGATGCTTCTAATTAGATTACATATGCAGATGCTACATTTTTATATGACGTTTAGTACGGATTCTTGATTATGTAGTGAGAGTATTAGTGATTTTAAGTGGTAGAATTAGTGGTGATAATTTTTATATTGTGTAGCTTTAGACTTTTCGACTATTAAACATATAAAAATCACTATTAATCATAGAGAGATTTTAATAAACATCAATCAGAAACCTTATGTACATATTAAAGTATTAAATAAAATATCTAAGCAACTTCTGCCCACCAGTGGTACATAATGAGGCTATTTTCGTATTATTGATTGAAATTTTTTGAGATTTTATATTAAACACCTAAAATAACTTGTACTTCAATAATTTTAATTATTTATGTTATTACCACCATTATACATATTAAGGATCAACCTTCGAGTTGCGGGCAAATAAGGAGAGGCTGACTTTGTTGTTATTGATAAAGTGGGAGCTCGATTTTTTGGAATGTCGGCTAAAAGGCTATTCGAAGACAAGATAGAATTAAATTACCACCACCTGCTCATCTCCTACAAATTGAGGGAATTATATTACAGTTTGGCATCAAGCTCATAGATTACAACATCGCTAATCCAACAAGTGAGTACACAATTATCACAATAAGAAAGGATGAGGAAGAGCAGATCACCGACAATATGCCTGACTTGATCGAGGTGTGAATCAAAATGATGATCAATATTAATAATAAATTTGTGTTATTCTGTATTGGAATGAGATTTTAATACCATGCATAGTTCATAGTGAGATATATTCTTTAATATAATTCACAACATGCAACGGCCGGATGAAAGGGAGCTGTGGGTTTAATTAACACAATTGGTTGGGATGAAGGGAACTAAGATTTTATTTATTAAAATTGATATTTTGTTATTTAACTGTCATACTGAGCTTGCTGCAAAGGTGGATAACACCCATTTAATTATTTCACTGCCTGCTTGGAAATATTGTCGATCCGCTATGCATTGAGTATGGAAGTTTGCTTCATTTCCCACTACTTGCAATCAATTATATCCGGCGACAATTTTATCTACAATATATCACCAATAATGATTCGATAAACCACCACATATGTTGCACTTTTGAATGTTAATAAGCTAAATTTACAATGCTGATGCAGGAGAATAAGAATAACACTGTTAATAGTGGAGGTAATGAATCCGGTGCTAGAGATGATGATGATGATGTTGAGAAGAAGAAGGACATTGTTCACGAGGAAGGTATAAAGACGAGTGACGGAGAGAAAGAACAAATCCAGGATAATGTTCGTAACTTATACAAGGTAAATTATACTCCAATGAAAAAGAACGAATATCACTTATGAAAAGTATATAATTCTATCAATGAGTAATTATAGGAAATATAAATTATTTAGTATTTTCTTATCAAATAAATTTTAGGAGTTCAACAACTCAAACCTTAATCTAGTATAAAATAAATAATAAATATTTTTTAAATATCGGCCGGAACCAAGTCTAGTAAGAATCAAAAGTATTATTGGACGGAGAAAACAATGGTCTACCCAAAATGGGGGTGGGGGGTGGTGGAAAAAAGAAATCAAACGGTGAGAGTACAATGCTTCACACGATCTGTGCTTTGATTAAACTCAATTTGTATTTTTACGTAATGTTAGAACTTAGAAGAGTTTTTAAACGGATGGAAAAATTCCAAAAAAAGAAAAATTAAATAAAAGCAAAAATTGCGCGGAGCACATCCCGACCCCGAGAAAGTGTGTAGAGATTTAGAGAACCTTTTTGTCGGCGAAGCACCTCCGCCCCGAATGCCACCAGAAACGAAATTAAAAACGACCAAAGATCCGCCGCCGCCGCCGCCGCCGCCGCCGCCATCTCTGCTACCGGCTTATCCGCCTGTTGCGCGGTAAAGAAAACAATCACTGTTGATCTCTAATCCAGGATTCTCTGTCCGGACTGGAAGTTGGAAAAGGGAAGATTCGGAGGGGAAAATGGCGGGAGCTGGCAGAGCAGCAGCAATTGCGTCGTGCAAGTGGTGCAGAGCAGCTGAGGCCGGAAGGCTCCTCCCCTACAATCAAAGATTTACCTCCTCTTCCTTACGCCCTTTCCGTTCTGCTTCATCTTCTTCTGTATGCTATTCTGATTATTATTCACAGACCGAGCTTGCTCGGAGGAATAATTCGACGTCAGGGCGAACCCCACTTCGTCTCCACCTAAATTCATTTCCAGCTTATTCTGTCTCCGTCCCGCAACCGGTTGGTCTTACTTCCCCCTCAACTTTCGCTTTCCATTTGAGCAATTTATTTGCTCACTGTGGAGTTGCTTTTTGTGATCTTTGTTTGCCGAATTGATTGTGCGAGCAGAACAAATTAAGCTTGAATGGCCGCGTTTTCTACTCCAGCTCCTCAGCTGCTGCTCCCGACAACAAGGGCGTTAACGGCTCACCACCAGTCGCTTCTCCTAAACCACAGGAGGAGCAAGTCGCGGACATGAAAATCCTAAGGAGGCTGGCTACTTACTTGTGGATGAAGGATAACCTTGAATTCCGCATCAGGGTTATCGCTGCGCTCACCTTTCTCGTTGGGGCTAAGGTCTTGAATGTTCAGGTGCCTTTCCTTTTCAAGCTTGCTGTTGATTGGCTGACCACTGCCACTTCCAATGTCTCAGAACTTGCTTCCTTCACGGCTGCCAATTCCACCCTCACTATTCTTTTTGCTACCCCTGCCTCTGTCCTGGTTGGATATGGCATAGCCCGCTGCACGGGAGCTGCCTTTAATGGTACCCTACCTATCTATTTGGTTCCTATTTCCATTTCCAATGTCATCTTTACCGCTTGCATTGCCATGATCCTTAAGCCTTCTCTTGTTCTTACATAAGTTTCTTTTAAGCTTGTATTCGTCCTCATCCTTTTGAAATATCGAATGAATTTCTTTTGATCCAGAGTTGAGGACTGCTGTGTTTTCTAAGGTTGCTCTCCGCACCATACGGTTGGTATCGAGAAAGGTAACTTTTCTCTAAAGCCCCACATCAGTTTGTTCTTTCTGGACTATGGTATTCACTGTGTGATAGGGACCACTTTTTTGTGTGCAGTTTGCTTGATTTGCTCCTCATGTTCACCGATTCTGTACTCATTATCTGTTCCCTTTTCACTTTCCTTCTGCTGCCAAGTACAGGTGTTTTCCCATTTGCATGACCTCGACCTCCGTTATCACCTCAGGTACTGGTTCCTTTGCTTGTTGGCTATCAATATAATTTGCTTTTTAGCAGTTGAACTGTTATAAACTTCTGCACGTGTCTCTTTCTGTGCAGCCGAGAAACTGGAGCGTTAAATAGAATAATTGATCGTGGTAGCCGTGCGATAAACTTTATCCTCTCCGCTATGGTCTTCAATGTTGTACCAACCATCTTAGAGGTACTTCTATTCCTTAGGCTTCTCTCTTAAGTTATCCAGATCCCTGAGTATTTTGTTTCAGTAGGTGAAACATGTCCTTGTGCTAGTAACAGAATCTTTAGCATATTCCTTTCAGATATCTATGGTGTCAGGTATCCTGGCCTACAACTTCGGTGCACCTTTTGCATGGATCACTTCACTCTCTGTTGCTGCATATATTGCTTTCACATTGTCAGTGACACAGGTATTATAATCTTCATTGTGACGTGAACATAAATAATTGGTAGCTTCTCATTCCAGCTATTTCATCTTGGATTCTCAGACTCGGTTAGCTAAATTTTACTGCATTGTGGGAAGCCACGATATTTCTGCATTGTCTATATTGTTGTTGTGTCACCTCTTTCTCTATTCTCAAGCCACTAAAGCTTATGCTGGCACTTCTTTTGAACTGCTATTCATTCTAGTGGAGAACCAAGTTTAGGAAGGCCATGAATAAGGCTGACAATGATGCTGGTACCAGGGCAGTTGATTCTCTTATCAATTATGAGGTGAGAATATGGCACTAGAACTCTTCCGTAAAGATTCCATTTTTTCCTAACATTTCTTGTTTCCATGTGTATGATCTCTTTCCCTTTTTTCCAGACAGTCAAGTATTTCAACAACGAAGCTTATGAAGCTGATAAATATGATGAATTCTTAAAGAGTAAGTACGTTAGTTATAAGCTTGAAGTCAAAAGTTCATAGTTTTCAATGGGGATTGTCAACAAAAATTAGTTAAAACGAATAGGTACATATGGTGTGCATGTGTGTGAGTGCTCGGCTACATGTCACTGGTTATAGTGGCCATACATTCTTGGGAAAGCTTTAAGTATTTTCTGCTCTTCTAGTGGTCATGCAATTTGTTAGTCTGATGCTAATAATTAAAATTTGCTTTCTTGTCACTTATTTATCTTATGTCTTTTCTGAAACTTTCCTGTTTTCCAGGATATGAAGATGCTGCCTTAAAGACACAACGTAGTCTAGCTTGGCTCAATTTTGGCCAGAATGCAATATTCAGCACTGCTCTATCAACAGCTATGGTTCTGTGTTCATATGGGATTTTGGAAGGCAGGATGACTGTTGGTGATTTGGTAAATCTTACCATAGTAACTGGTTTATATTATGGTCAAGTGCTCATATGGCGCTCTCACAATGACACAGCACTTTTAAATTTATAAAATACAGGTTATGGTAAATGGGCTGCTTTTCCAGCTGTCTCTTCCACTTAATTTCCTGGGCAGTGTTTATCGCGAAACTGTGCAGAGCTTAGTTGACATGAAGTCATTGTTTCAACTGCTTGAGGTATGTTTCTGAATATTTTATAACAATTGAATTCAGATACAATTATAAGTACCTTCCATCCCAATTGTTATAGCTGTCACTTTTATTAAGTGGTACCAAGTTTAAACACTAGATCCGAAAGGTGAAACTAATAATGTTTGAGAGGCTAAATAGTTAGTCTGTGTCAGTTTGATCGTAGCTATATTTTATGATATTGGTGTTACTTTGCTTTCGTACAAATATCCTCTATTACAGTAACAGTGGTAAAACTTTATTGATGTGAGGAAAAGTAAAACTATCACCAGTACATGTTTTCTTTGTTCCTACTGAAAATTGTGGCTCTTACGATGGGGGTTTCCTCAGGTGAGACCTGAGATTACTGATAAAGAAGGTGCAAAACCTTTGAAGTTAAATGGTGGTAGCATACATTTTGACCGTGTGGCCTTCAGGTACTATGTTTCTTCCATGATTAGAACTTCATGAATCTCTCTTGTTGACTGTCACGAAACTATTAGAGCAAGCGACATTAGCTGCAAAATAAAATTTCAGTTGCACACAATATACTTCACTTTGTCCAAATAGCTTCTTCAGTGGTATAACATGTGAAAGTTTTTTTTTTATGGATAAACATGTGAAAGTTTTAGTTTCTATTTTTCTTCTCCCCCTATTATGGGGTTTTGGTTAAGATTATGCACGTTCTCTTTCCTGCTTTTGAGCCTTTTCCTTCTTTAGGATTCAGCACTTGAAGCCTTGATTTTTATGTGGTAAAATTGACTCCATGTCTTTTGTTGACATGTTGTCATGGTCTTTGATTCGGGATGTTCTACCTGGCGATGTGTACTTATGTTATGCCTGAAGTCAAATACTCTTAGTTTTCAATTAGGATGGTTTGGTTGGTTACCTCTTCTTGTTGAAGCTATTATCCTGTCCGTCTGTTCCAATTTCCGCAGACTTTCAAACGACAGACTGTATCTTGTTTACTTTTTTTTGCTGGAGACTGTATCTTATTTATTGCTGCAATACTTCACATTAAGAGTTTTATGAGGTTTCCTGAATTAGTGGCCTTGTAATTTCTTGGTTTGAGCATTTTGTATGTAGATGAATTGTTTTAATTAGTCTGTGATGGGCATTTATGGCCACTCTATGTTTGAAACTTGTTTAGAATCTCAGTTCAGGGCGTAGTTGTATAGTATACTACTGCTGCTAATTTTGTTGGGCAATGCTCTTTTGTTTGTGGTCCTGAATGTATCAGTTACCTACCTGAAAGGAAGATTCTTGATGGTGTATCTTTTGTAGTACCAGCTGGAAAAAGTGTGGCCATTGTGGGAACAAGTGGAAGTGGTGAGACTTTGGTTCCATTCCTATATATATCTATTCGTTTAATAAAATATGTGATCTGAATATTTGGATTTTGGTTGAACTATCACAGGGCTATTTTCTCTTTTACCATCTTACCTACCCATTGACCTCGTCCTTGTTGTCATGTTTGGTTCATCGAGGACAATTTGATGTCCTAAACATATTTTAACTGATGATTCAAAATTCAGTTATTATGTTCCAGGACATGTAATCTGTTTATAACTGTGAAATGTAGGACATTGTGAGGACCATAATGCCTCTCAAAATTATGGTGGCCTTTGGAGCAGTGTTAGTTTTGTCTGAACTAAAATTTAAGGATTTTCCTTTTGTTCTCCAAAGATACTGTTAGTGAGATATTCTTTAAGGAGTTGCAATTTAAGTTGTAGGAGAATGAAAAAGGTTAGTGTTTGGTGATGCTTCATAAAAAACTTGGTGGGATTTAGCTTTTTCTATTAAAATATTGAAGGAGAAAGCCAAAAGTCGAAAGGATATCCTTTCTCCATTTAAGCTCTTAGTCATTAATTGGAGGGTGAAATATTTTGCTCATAGTCAAAGTTACTATTTTGTTGATATGTATACTTCTAAACTTTTAGAAACCTTCTTATGTTTGTTTGTACTTATTTTATTTGCCAAGTTTTAGTAGGCGAAGTTGAATATTTGAGCTTAGATTAGGATTATAAAATTCAACTTCCAATGTTTTCAAGCTTCAGTGTCCTATCCTTTCATTCAATTGTTATTTGCTCCTAATTATGAGAAACCGTAAGCTTCTCCGTCCCCTGATGTACAAGTGGTGGCAAACTAATAACAATGGTTATTGGTTACGGAAACCACTTGGTCAGCTGTATGCCCTTAAATCCTAAACTTATTAATACCCCATCAACCTTGGATACATGCGAAATCTAATCTAAATAAGGATGAAAGTGACACTCATTAATACTGGAAAGTATTCCGCATAATTTTCAGAGTGGGAAATTGAATGGTTGTATTTGAACTTTCTCAATGTGTCTTAATAGCTGGCACCAGATATAGCTTCGAAACACTAGCTTCTGCAAATGTGCTTTCTGATAGAGAAAATAATTATCTTCATGATTCTCGGGCAACAACTGTAACAGTGGTCACCGAAGCTTGTGTCCGACCCGTGCACTCTGTACTGTATGCAAATTTAGCATATTAATGTTTCTGGTTTGTTCTATGCAGGCAAGTCTACCATTCTTAGACTAATCTTCAGATTTTTCGACACCCATGCTGGAAGTGTAAGAGCTGAAATCTTTTGTTTCTGATAAATGTACAATGAATTATCTACACACCCTTCATGTTTAATGAAATAAGGCAGGAAGGAAAAAGAAGTTGGCTTGTGTTGTAGCTAATTTCACAGTAGTAAAAGATGTTTTTTTGAAGCAATTAGTAAAAGGTAAAACTGCATGTGATCATAATGACCAAAAATTTATTCCTTCGGTTACTGCTCCTAAAGCATAGACATCTGGATCAAACTCTTGTAGAGGACTTGACAGAAGGTTCCCCCATTTCCATTGGCTTCCTTGCTTCTATCTTTGATGTGTTTTTTCTGGTTGAAATGCTGGTATTTTACCGTTGCTACTGGGTTCATCCCTGTAATAAGACTAGAACTTTAAATTTGGTTCTTCCCAGATACGAATTGATGGCCAGGACATACGGGATATTGAATTAGATAGTTTACGGAGCTCTGTTGGCGTTGTCCCACAAGATACTGTAAGTTCATTGAAGCAACCAGTGGTGTGAACTAATGGAAAACTTCTATCTTACAACATATAAGTTTGATAAGCTGGGTTATGTTTCTCCATTTACAGGTACTTTTCAATGATACAATATACCACAACATCCATTATGGTCGTCTTTCAGCACGTGAAGATGAGGTGAGTATCTTGTTCCGAGAACCATGAATTGCTCAACTTGCTTTGCTGTTCTGACGACCATGAATTGGTGAGCTGGGTTCTGTTTCTCTATTTACAACTGTTTGCATTCAGGTTTATGATGCTGCTCGACGTGCATCCATTCATGATACTATTATGAACTTTCCTGAGAAATACTCAACTGTGGTTGGAGAACGCGGACTTAAGGTGTGAAGTCCTTTGCTTTTAACATTCTCACGCTCCTGCCTTCTATGCTCTCCCCAATGAAGTTGCATATTTTACCAAATTTTTGTCAGATTAGTGCAATGTATGTGCTTTCAAGTGTTTAGTCATTGTTTTATTGCTTGTCATTGTGGTCCATTAAACTAATTGAACACTTTTTGTGAAAGTTAGTAGCTGATTGTCTATGCTTTCGTCAACCAGCATGGATTTTTTTGTCTTTTCTTGAACTAAGATTGATTGGGCTGCCTTTCTGTCCAGTTGAGTGGTGGTGAAAAGCAGCGGGTTGCTTTGGCTCGTGCATTCCTGAAAGCGCCACCAATTCTGTAAGAACACATTTCTGGGCTCGTTTGTTTGTTGGATTTGAAAATAAAGGTTTTGAGTTTTGAAAACCTTTGGATTTATAAAGGATATTTACCTTTGGATTTATAAAGGATATTTTGCATTTTGTATCTAAAAGATAACATTTTTTGTTTAGTTCTTTTTTTTTTATCATGGATTTAGTATTGGGATCTCAAAATTTTGCCTTCCATAACCAAATACCAAATGAAATGTGGTATTTGCAAATACGTGGGCTCCACGGATTTGTAGCTAAAAATATTGTCCAAATCCGTGGGCTCCATTTATTTGCATACCTTAACAAATGATATATTTTCCCAAAAACATGATGGTTTGTATTTGAAAACCAAATCCAACATCCAAATCCCATTAACAAACAACACTTAAATTGTTTGCACTTAGCTGCATTGAGTAAGCTGATCTTATCCCGTAGTAGTTGCAGGGAGCAGATTTAGTAACTAAGGGAGGCCCCCTTGTCTTTAGATTTATAAATAAATAAAGGATTATTTAATTAGTCATATGGATGATATTTTTGATTTTTTTTTCTTTACCCTTTTCCACCCTGCACTTTCAGTGTCCTTAACTTTTGCTTCTTTTTTTACCCAACCTTTTATTTTGGGTTGGGCTAGTATGCAAACATTTTTTGTTAGCATGGTGCTAACACTAGCTCCAACCAATAGGAACATTTCGTTTGAATGACTTTTTCATTTAAATGAGTTGACCACAATTAATAAAGAGAAAGGGAAGGAGGGGCATGTTGGGCATTAATAAAAATTGGGGGTAATAAAAATTGGGGAAGGGAGAAGGGGAGTCACGTGTGCAATTAAATGGGGGAAATGAAATTTATGCCCACAAAATCAACCACACAAACCATATAATCTTCCCCACAAACCACAAAATCTTCTCCACAAATAATTCTCTCCACAAATCACAAAATTCATCTAACCCACAAAATACACCCCACAAACCACAAAATACACCCCACAAACCACAAAATCCACCCTACAAAATCCACTCCACAAACCACAAAATCTAGGCCACAAGAATCTTAACTTGGCGCAGAAGTTTCTTAAACTGCGGACCTATTTGTAAAATTTTAAAAGTTCAGCTACCAAAATGTAAGAGAAAAAAATGTAGGTACTAATATATAAATTTTCATAAATATTTTTAGGACTTGTATGTACACAAAATAATTTTAGGCACTAAATATTAAGATGTATTAAGTTTGACTACCAAAACTGTAATTTGTATATATAACCTTATGACCTCAACATAGAGAAAGGGGGAAAGGGATGGGGAAGAGAGGAGAAATGAGTAGTATCCTTATTGAAAGTGTTAGCACCCTATCTCCTCCCTTTTATTTTATCTTTTATCTTATTTATACTTTTAACTAGGAAAAAATTATAAAGCATAATCCTGAAGTAGACAAAGCAGAACAGATTAGTATATAAAATATACAAATCATACTATAAAAGTTAGTAAGTTACTAACCAATAATAGATGGTAAATCATATCATATACAAATTAATATTACAAATAATACAAATAATATCATGATAATATGTAAATCACTAACACAAACTATACAAACTAAATAATAAAAGCATACAAACCAATAAAAATAGTATATAACCAGAATATAAAAGTAAACCAAATAATAAAAACGCACAAACCAATAGCAATAGTATACAAACTAGAATATAAAAGTGTACAAAAACCAATAGTACATTTTATACAAACCAATAACAAAAACTATACAAACCCGATAAAAGTATACAAATTAATAATAAAGAATATATAAACCAATACTAAAAAATATATATCATATAAAAAAATTGTACAAATTAATATTACTAAGTATACAAACCAATAACACAAATTGTACACAAATTGTACAAATTAGATTATAAAAGTATACAAATATTACAAAGTATACAAATCATAGGATAAAATTAGAATCTTAAAATCGTAGGATTTTAAGGTCAATATATAAAAAAAAAACAGAATAATATTAAAAAGTTAACTCGTGAATATCACAAAGACAATAATACTTAAAATGATAATTTCTCTAGATTATTGTTAAAATCCTTTAAAATCAAAAGATTTTGAAGATTTTAAGGATTTTAATCGTGAATAGTGTAGGATTTTAAACTTCATAAATCTTAAAGTAAAATCAGGATCGAACCAGGTAAATAAAATTGTAAGGTTTTAGGATTTAAAGTAGATTTTCGACTACTCTGCATATAATAAAGTATACAAACCAATACCTGACGGTGAGAAGTATATAAACCAGTTCAAGTTCTACTACATGGTTTCACTTTTGCTGTCTTTTTGGTGGGAAGTACATGTTACTGTCAAATGATCAAAACAGTACCTGACCGTGAGACAGACGGCCACTATTGAACATCTCGGCTTCTGTTCAGTTGTAAACCTTGAATCTTGAGCAAGGATGTTAAAGAACCCCTTGACTACTAAGATTCTGTTCCTTCATGTAAAAGAGGGACTCCAATTTGACATTTCTACCCAATGTCTTTGTTATTTGCAGAATTCATATTTTCATTGATCTGGCAAATGCTACAAAAAATAAGTTTATGTTTCTTGTGCTGATTTCTCAGGCTGTGTGATGAGGCAACAAGTGCACTTGACAGCACTACAGAGGCTGAGATACTAACAGCGCTCAAGTCGTTAGCCAATAATCGTACTTCAGTGTTTATTGCCCATAGACTTACTACTGCAATGCAATGTGACGAGGTATGCATTCATCTCCAATCTGATGTGTGGTGTTGAAAATTAAGTGTCGGCTAAACTGCTTGTGATCATTCTCTTTCCCAAGTAGTTGAAATATCCATTCAACCTTTTAGGATCGTCTGCTTAGTACTGTACCCATTCTCACCATGAAAGCATCAACTATCATTTGAGAATGAAAACTGCTACATAAGAACATGAGATCCAGAGACTTGTCTTTTAGGCATATGTGGATGCTGTTTCTAAATGGTAATGCTTTGGATGTCACCAATATATCATTAGCCATAATTCATTTTCTATATTCTTCTCCCCCCCCCCCCCCCCCCCCCCCCCCCACCACCACCACCACCACACACACACACATTTCAGTCCTATTAATGCATGCAATTTGATCTAGAGTAGAAATAATAATTACAAGCTTGTAATGGAGGAGATATTTAAATGTCATCTGAGCCATGGGGATGTTTCTCCTATTGTCCTTACCTACAATATCTTCCTAAATTTATAGTTTTATGCCATCCATGGGTTATTAGTACAGCATCAATAACTTATTTGTTTGCTGTTGCTTACACTTACAGTGTATGGTTTCTTTTGTCCATTTGGATATGGTTTCTAGATTATAGTTTTGGAGAATGGGAAGGTGGTTGAACAGGGACCGCATGAAGTCCTCTTGACCAACGCAGGGAGATATGCACAGCTATGGGGACAGCAAAATAATACTGTGGATGTCAATGATTCAGCAGTCAAGCTGGGGGCGTGATCACCTCTTTGTCTGCTATTTTAGTCCTGCTTGCTTGAAAGCAACATGCCGTTCTCTTCATCTATATTATTGAGCAAGCATTGATAGAAAAATTACGGAGCAGTGGTTTTATGTAGAAGCCTAATGAAGCAACATGCCGTTCCCTTCATCTATATTATTCAGCAATCAGCAAGCATTGTCCGAAAGAATTATGCGGAGCAGTGGCTGACGGCATCATGATTTGTGGTGAGTGAATGTGTACCAAGGCAACATAGCAATTATCAGACGAAACCAATGCCATGCTTATATTGAAGATGTGTGCCGGTGATATCATGTTGAGATATGTATTGGCACAACCTCTTTGTCAATCACACACATAAAGAGCCACAATAAACTTCTTCAGTGTAAAGTGACGAAGGGCCCATTGCTGACGATGTTTTCTTGTACTATTGAATTTACAAATTTGAATAATAATTAAAGTTTTCTGGACAACTACTGTGTATCTATACTTGCATGTGTTGAAGTCTGGAAAGTTCAGGCTTGGCAATGCATTTTTTGGTGTCTTTCTGGTGAGCGCCACATCTTTTGAGTATCTGATGCATCATTACGCCTGTATGGCATGCAAGCATTTTGCTGAGGCATATTAATGTATGTTTGTAGTTCATTGTTGTCATTTGGTTTGCTTGCACTGTGCTCTTTCCTGAAAATTCGCGCTCATATTCGCTTGATTTTACATGGCAGTTTTTGAATACGTTTGAGCTGACCTAAGTGACTTTGTCTTATATATAAAGCCTTTCCTACTGTAGTTACATTGTGCCAGATGTGCAATTTTTTTGTTGAAAAAGGAGTCAATAAGTAATTGAATCACCGTACAGTTGTCGAGTTGATTGCCCCACGTAACAGCCGGATCACCATTCACCACACGGATTCTGAGTGCTTGATCTATAAGAGTGGTCTGATTTTTATGAGACCGTCTTGATTCTAGATATCAGATCTGTTTTGGAAAGAGAATTGGGTTACTGTGATTTCCAAGACATCAAGGTTGCAGAGCATCAGCAGCTTGTAAGTGTTTCTATCAGTAGCTAGGTGGTTGGTTTGGTTTTGCTGTACAGCATCTTCTCCAAGGATTTCCCTTTTTGATAGGTTGTTGATTTCCTTTCCTTTCCAGCTCTGTGTATTCAACTAATTGTTTTAAGAAGAATATTCAATCTTGGATATCTTCTCGCTGGACAGGTCAGTCGATTCCATGCGTTAGCTACTTTAGCAGCCGTGCAGAAGTTCTGTGTTGGGATATGTTTGTATCTGCTTTTTCTGGATTTTTAAAAGCCATCTTTAGTAGAATAATAAGTTCCTTTCCTTTCCTTTCCGGAGCAGCGTGATTTACTAATTATTTCAATTCAATTTCAATTGATTTCCTTACTTCAAAATCTTCTCATGGCACAGGTAATTGGTTAACCTGCAGTAGGTTCTGTTTTCTTCTTTTGATACATGTTCATTATTTGATTTGATTATATGTAGTGTTTCTTGTAGTCTGCCCACTTGTAATTGAAGTCATTCTGAACTCCTTGGTGAGATTTTGCAAGTGGAGAATGGTCTTGGCTCATGTTTCAAGGACTCAATGTGCAGGGGTTGAGGGGATATTTTGGGAGCTGATCAAGGGATTTTATCAGGGACTTCAAATGTTAGGACATGGTGAATGCGCCATAAGGCTCAGACCAGCCATCATCTGAGCTGTCATTAAATTCCCTGGTTTACATTTTAGAAAAAAGTTGAACCAGGTGACATGCAGTTGAAATCCTAGTCTGTTGTTGGGTGGATAGCAATAAGTTCTACTTCCATCACAACCCTCCAGAAAGCCGACACAAGAAAAACTCCGCATAGGTTGCTTCGGATTCAAAATCAGCACCATCAGTTACTGGAAGAGTAAAGCTGCAGTTTCAACCGTTACGAGTAAAATTTTCTATTCTGTATCTGCTATTCAGGGTTTTTTGTCGTCTTTTTAAACCGAGCTTTTCAATCTTTTGTCTTCATGTTCTCTCGAGTATTGCATCATCCTGTTTTTTTCCTGCAACAAGTGCTTCTAGGCCCGTGCCCTTTGTTTTTGTCGCCCTGTTACATGAAACAACTTCGGATCAACCACATGCATGAGAGGAAATGTGTCAATTTGTGATGGAGACTTGTTTCTCCTTGTAAATGATGCATTAGCACTTGCTGTAGCTGTGTAGAAGATGTCCAAGGTGGAAGCAAGAGGAAAAAGGAGGAGTGCCAGAATAGTGGCTCTGGAGGAGAAAGCTCGTGCACTTTCTCTTCAGAGAGCAGAATCAAAAACCCTATCCGACAGTGGTAGTGCTAGCTGTAATGCATCATCATCATCAACAGCAGCAGCAGCAACCAAAAATAGGAAGAGAGGCCGCAAGCGCAAAAGTCTCCATGATGTTCACTTGGGTGCTTCTGCCTTTCCCCAGGTTTCTCCTTTCATTTCTCCTCCTTTTTTGTTTTTACCATGTCCTGTCCAAGATTCTTTGTCACAGATTATTAAACGAGTCACTGATTTTTGAAAACTTCTGATATGCATGCGGTACTCATTGGTTTTATATCAGTATCAATTCCACATTGTCCATTCTGGTCGCATTATGCAATTAGTCAGAAAAAGTATATGACATCAATGCATTGTCTACATTATTAACTCAGCCACTTCCGTCAAGACTATCTCTCGTTGTTGAAGTTTTTCTCTTGTTCAATTGTTGATTCCTCTCTCTCATATTGTAGCATTATTTCTAAGCTACTGCACACTTATCTTAGTCTGGGAGGCTAAGCATTCTCTATTAAACAAACATAAAAACCATTTGCACTTGTTGGTGTCTGCCATGTTTTACTGCATATTTTCTTCAGGAATTAATTACTGAAAACATACTTCTGCATTAAATACTATAGTGCCTTCTTTGTGATAACAGATAATGTTGTTGGTTCTTTCTCTTAGATGTTATTTTGTTTACTCGTGGCCTTGGCCATAGTATTACGCAACTCTGTATTCTGGAAGGTAGAGGGTTTGTCAGATCCTTGAGTTTTAGCTTTTAATTCTAGTGTACCGAACCATCTGAGGAATGAAACTAGCGGCAAGCTGGTTTAGCTAGAAATATGTCTTGGACATTGTAGAGTTCTGTGAAATGGAGTTTTTTGTAGTGTCTGAAAACGACTGCCAGATTATCCTTAAGATCTTGACTTGCATACAGTGGAATATCTAAACAGTTCAACTAGCTTTCATGATTTTTCAGAACCCGTTAATCTGATTACATTTTATATGGTACCTTATCGTTATTGTTAGTGAAATTTTCCTGAGGACTGCATGTGAGGTAGTGTTGCTGGGTTATCTTTTCTCCCTGTGCATTTTATCACTCAGATGTTTGGAGGTTCACTCGTTTGCAGGAACAAGAAATGCCAGAATATGATGGCATGTCAATTAAACATGGGGGGCGCTTTTTTGAAGGTTAGAAACTCAAACACAAACTCTTTCTCAAGTTCCTTTGATTAATGCTTCACTTGTTTCTAAAACATCACGCAGCCAATTGGCCATCTAATCAATTGATGCCAAACAAAGGAGCATTGGAGTTTATCCTTGACGTACTTCAACGGTAATGCTTTCACCTGAGGCTACTGTACTATGGATCCCATTTACATTCATTGCCAAAAACAAAGAATTTAAATCTGCTTGTGTGACACAGGAGAGACGTACAAGAGTTGTTTGCAGAGCCGGTTAACCCTACAGAGGTTGGTAGTTGGGTCGCAATCACACATTGCAGCAAGATACTTTTTTTTTCTTCTCATGCCCTTTTTGGTATATTCCTCTCATTTTAAGGTGACTGGCTATTACGATGTTGTCAAGGAGCCAATGGATTTTGGAACAATGAGGGCTAAACTTCAGGAAGACATGTATACAAGCTTGGAACAATTTGAGGTTTTTCTCGGAATGCGAAGATTAAGTATTTCTATTCTTGTGTTTGCCAAAGTTTCCAGTTTGTTCAAGTATGCCTATACTTGCCATGTCTGCAATGCAACTTGCTTCCTTATAAACCTTTTAATATCAAACATGTGTATTTCCAAGTTGACAGCAATAAAAAGATTATGTGCTTTGTTCTTCATCACTATATTTTAAACCAGGGGTTTTAACTTCTGAACCCTCTTCTATGGCACTGAGAAGAGCTATGTGACAAACCTTGATCTTGAACCCATGTTCTTCATCTTGTCCACTTTGTTAAAGTAAACAGCAGGCTGTTTGTTCCATGAGAAAAGCCACTATTTACAAACTTTATGTCTTCCCATCGAGTAATTACCATGAGATGGTTTCTGACGTTCTGCCTGAATTCGCTCTGCAGCATGATGTTTTCCTGGTGTTCAGTAATGCTATGAGATTCAACGTGTCAAATTCAGTATATTATGAAGCGGTAAGCTTTCTGGCTCTTGCTAAGGGGTGATGGCGTTCAAGTACCAAGAAGATGTTAATAATATGTGTGAAGTGAATGACAAATATGTTATTTCAGGCAAAAGATCTCAGTATATTGGGGCAGCGGCTTTTCCATTCTCTCAAAACAGAACCAAGGAATTTCGACTACATTTACACACGGACAAGACAGCAGATGTCAAACAAAGCCCAAGGTGAAGCTGGAGGTCCACTTGCTAAGCTTATGAAAAGTGGTGGCGCCAGAGGTGGTATTTCCCTAAATGATTCCAACAGAACTGATCAAAAGTATCTTGCTCCATGGCATTCAAAACGGCACACCAATCAATCGACTGGTAAAGTTTCTGCAGGTATGAGATAAGCTGGTACTTGGCACTAAATAACTGCATTTTGCTCCTGTAAACTTGGAGACTTGGTGCATGCTTGATCAACATTTACTGACAAGGACATCAACTGGTATGAATGGCCATTGATATTTTGATTCCCAAAAGACCAGGTGGTTTATTATATACTGAACAACTTGGCTTTGAGGGTTATGCTTGAGAATCAAAATCAACTCATATAAAATAAAGAGAGTTACAGCTTACTAAGTGCCCAGTTTTCTCATTGACTATATAAGATGTTTATCTCTGATATTAATCATTTAAATCCAGACAACTGTTCTCTTAACTCTTTTCAAATAAGTTTTAAGTTTTCGTGTTTGGTTATCTGAACCTTGTGAGAAAAGATGCTGATGGAAGGAAATCTTTTAGTTGTTACAAGTTCCAGGCTGTGCAATTTTATGCCTGACCAAGTTGACAGTGGTTTTACTTCTGTATAGGAATCATTTAAATCCAGGACAAGATTTATGTTTACACTTTTAAATAATTATTAAGTTGTCTTTTTTAGTTCTCTGAACCTTATGAAAAATATTGCTGGCTAGAAGGGAAGCTTTCAGTTGTTACTAGCTCCGAGCTGTGGAATATTATGTATGATCCAAGTTCACAGTGGTTTTACATCTGTTTCAACTGGAAGCTTATAGGAAGTTTAGGCCAATAATGCAGCTACAGAGCTCTGAGTAGTGTTCTAGTGCTAAAGCTCTTTGCTAGATAACTAAATAAAGCAGGCTGAAAGCTTTTCCTTGGAAATAAAGTAGAACAAATTGAATTATTCAGGAATGGTTGGAGTTGATATTACTTACCGCTCTACCTTGATACTCAACAATAAGTTGACTGTCTTATCAACCCCATGCATAATGCCTCTTGGCGTGAAAACTATTCTCAATTCAGTTTGGTTGTCTCCGTCACTTCCTTCTAGAGATCACAACTTACTTTCAGAAGGAATTTGCTGAATACTGAGCCTATATGCGATTCTTGTGTTTGCCCTTCGTTTAAAATAAAAAAAACTTTCCTGTGTTATTTGTCCAATTTCACCTCTCTTAATTCACAATTTTTAAGAGGTAAGATTTGATTTATCCACCTTCACCCGCTTTGGACAGGGTCAAGAGAAGGAAGCAGTTTCCTGTCCCCTGAAACGGAAAGGCGTAGCACGTACATTTCTCAGATTACCTGGCTGAACAAGGAGAAGCCAATTGTTTCAGCTGTCTATAATAGCCCAAAATCGCTCACAGATGTAAGTGGAAGAAATTGCATGCTCATTTACGGCATTCTGCATATAGTGACAAATATTTGAAGTTTTGAAGTAAGTAAAAAGTAATTTCTGCTCCATGTCAAAATCAAACTAGGAACTTAGCTAGAAGGCAGATTAGTTTCTTATGAGCTTCTGCATTTCATCAGGGTGTAATAGATACATGCAGAGCACTGGATGTTGGGTTTTGCTCTTGGTTCTACATGTTGGTGTCCCTTTCTTATTGCTCATTCATCGTTTCTTACTGCAAAAGGTTTCAAAGCTGTAAAGACTTTTGATGCTAGGTCATACAAGGCTAATGAATATGTACTTATTTCAACACATAGTGATATAAAGTGCAGCAGCAACCTATGCCGATTATAACAAGTTCCAATGCTGCAGGCTTCTGATGCTGGCATGCGGTACAGAGAAAGTCTGAACAAGTTTGTAGAAGATTTGGGTCCAAAAGTTAAAGCTGTTGCTGATAGGAAACTAGGGAAGCAGCCTGTTGAAGCTTTGAGTAGCATGTCATGGAATCCAACCTTTTCTAGTCAGCCCACAAATCTTTTGGAGCCTGCAGCAGGATATTCATTATTCGGACGTACTGCTTCTGAGAATCTTGTTCGGGATGGACAAATACGTCGTAGTTTTACTGCTAACTCGTCTAACTCCTTCAAAGGAAAGATGATATGCATGGATGCATCAGGAATGAGCAGTCACAACGTATTGGGAAGAAGACAGCAACCCATCTCTGGTTATAGAAGTGATTCATCAGCTGTAGGCAAGTTACCCTTCGGGCATAGCAGTTATGGAGGAGACAGTTTTTCCAACAGAAACCTGGATATTTCTGGTACATCCGAGGAGAAAACAACTGCCAGGATTGGTAATATGGACCTTCTTCTTGCAACAATCGTACAAGTGAGTGCAATGCAACGTCGAAACTCACGTTGTCCATCAGGTTCCTACTTCCCTCTTACGGGGAATGGACCTCCTTCGTCGGGATCCCTCTTCCCATGTTGGGGTAACGGAGGGCCTCTAGGGTTTCAGCCATCTCAAATGTTGTTGCCACTAACAAGCAATTCTTCAAAACCAGCTGTTTCCAGTAATGGAGCAGGTAAGAGTCAGTTCACGACCTTCTTGCGTGGAGTTGAGCCTCGACACCACCAAACTGTGGAGGGGACAAGCAAAGCTGGTAGCGTACTGGATCAGAGGTTGAAAGGCAAAACTGTTTACCCAGTGGATTTTAGCCAACTCTTATCGTGGACAACTCAAGGAGCAACCTCGCAAGGGCCTAATATAAAATCGGTTGCAGTGCCACCACGTGGGGACCAACTAAAAGCTTCGCCCAGCCGAGAAAAGGAATTGTTCCAGACAACATCCATGTTTGATGGAGCAAATAGAGACAGCAGCCAACAAGCAAAGCCGCGGTGGATGGCATATGATGGGGGTTCGTCCTCTTCAACTGCTGCTGCTGCTGCTGCTGCTCCACCATCCTTCAAAATCGGGCATCAGCAGCCTGATTTGTCGCTTCAACTTTGAGTTTTTTGTGATCTTGGATGAGAAACTGGCGGATTATTTTGAGACGTAATGTTGATGAATGTTGTTATAGTAGTGCGTTAAGTCTCTTTTCCTCCTCTTGAAATGGTAATTGTTGGCACTGCGATCGGTCATAAGCTTTAGCTGGCGTTAGTGAGTGTCTGATCTATCAGGTCCATTGCCATGCTTTAGTTTGGGAGTCTGAAATCTGCTATGAGTTTACGGATTTTTGTCATAGATATCGCAGAAGAGGAAAAAGCATTTGCATGGGGAGGAATTTTACTATTGTTTAAAGGGGTTATAGGTATAATATGCTCCTCAACTATGTCATTTTATCAAACATGCCCTCTGCTATTTTTTACATCAAACATGCCCTTGTACTTTGAGAAAATGATCAAACATGCCCTTCTGTTAAAATTCTCATTGAAAAAATCATCAATCATGGTCGAACCGAGATTTAGACGACCCGACATCGACAAACAGGAGGGATATTTTTCCGTTTTGTCTCCTGTTTTATTTCCCGGGTCTCGCTAAAGTGAAATTATAAGAATCATTTGGCTATACAAAAGGACCAAACAAAATTCTAAAGTAAAATTATTAGGGATATTTTAGACATTTGTGTCTCCCAAACTAAAGTTTGATCGTAGTTAACGGTTTTGGATGAAAATTTGAACATAAGGGCATGTTTGATAATTTTTCCAAAGTACAAGGGCATGTTTGATGTAAAAAATAGAAGAGGGGCACGTTTGATAAAACGACATAGTAGAGGGACATATTATACCTATAACCCTTGTTTAAAGCATTGGTGATTTAGTTTTTGCTTTTATGGATAACTTGAATCTGTACCTTTAAGGTTATGGTACAACTTCAAGTTGTACCTGTATTTGTTGTAAAATTAATTTATAGTACAATTTTAATGTTGTACTTTATGTTATGGTACAATTTGAAGTGGTACCATAACATAAAAGTCAAATTCTCTTATGTTACAACTTCAATTTGTACATTTAACGTTATGGTACAACTTTAAGTTGTACTTTTAAGTGCCAATACTTTACAAAATAGTAGAAGTGCTCGCTAAATGGTTGGTGGTTGACCAGTTTCCAAACCACTTACAAGAGTTATTTTTCGAGGAGATTGGCTATCCTATTATACCTACAATTAGGGGTGTTCAAACGGTGTGGTTACCGTGGTAACGTTTTAACCAATAGTATTTGGCTAATTTTGTATGGTTAATTTGGATGACTGGTTTGGTTTGGCTAAAAAATTTAGCGTGTTTGATTTAGGTGGCTTGGTTTGGTTTGGTTTTAGACACTCCAAATCAATCAAACCAAATTAACCAGTTAAGTAATTATACATATATCTAGGTGAGTTATGCGGTATCCAGGGTGAAAGTCGGGATACCGCATACGCTATCCAGACCTTGAATTGGCTTATCTTTTGGATATGATACTATACTCTAACCCTTAAAAATCAAAATATGTCTTAATTCACTAAATCTTATATCCCAAGATCAATTTAATTAGAAACAATAATCGACGGTTATGATTCGTTCAAATATAGGCAAAAAATGAATGCACCATCTTAGGGTTTATAGTTTATGATTTAGATAATTAGGACATAGGGATCACTCATTAAAGGTTAGTGTATAGTATTAGCTCCAAAAATTCTGCTAATTCGAGATCTAGATAGCATTTTAATACTTAAGGTATGCGGTACCCCTGATTTCACCCGGAGTACCGTAGAAGCCACTCATATATCTAATATATATTATATACACATACTTAGTATTTGGCATAACCACTCAAGAGCCAAACATTTCTTCCTTTTAGGCTCATCAACAATAAAGCTCAATATTGTTCATATACTGTATATTTATATTTGTAGAGTGTAGACCATGATATATGACGCTTAATTTAGATAAAAAATCATACAATATATTAGATGAAAACTTGAAAGGAAGGTCTTTTCAGCATATGATAATTGCTACGAGACTAATTCAATTCACACAATCACAACAATCAATTAACTCCATACTAAGCCATATATTTTTGTTATTTGAATACTTCTATTGACTATAAGATAATTGTATTAGTTGCATGTATTTCTTTAAGGGCTAACTATAGTGTGTTCATTGTAATGTTTTATTCATCATACAAATAGTGAATAGATGAAATAACACAAAATTTTCTCACTTAATGATGATGTGATCTTATATTGGTTAATATGGTTAACCAATTGTTTCGTTGGCAAAACTCGCGTGTTCAATGCGCACTATTTTCAAGTAAACACAAACACAAAGTCAACAAAATCGTCAAATATCCACCGCCGAATGTCGGCGCTGTTGATTTGATCGATTAAACAGAAACCAAGACGACCGTCAAATATCCACCGCCGGCGTCGGCGATATTGATTTGATCGATGCACCTTTGACTTCTAACCAGAACAACCGTTTCTCGGTTCACCACCTCTCCAAACTACGTTCGAACGAGGGTGTTCAATGAGAAACGAGAAACCAAACAGGGAGTGTTCTAAGTTATGTTACCTCTACTCCTATGGAGGTTCCTCTGGAGAGCTCCGCGACTACGATCTATGACTACTACGACTCTCCAAAGGAGGTCTTTGACAGAGCGGTTCTACAAAACTAGAGAGAAAAAACGATAATTCTGCGACGGTGCAGTTTGAGTTTTGATTTTGCCATCTCGAGCTTCTCTCTCTACCTGATGTTTATATTGCAATCTTCTGCCCGTAGTCGTGGTCACCGCCTTCGCGCCTTTGTCTCCCACGTCTTCATTCCTGTCAAACGTGCGGGTAACTTCCTCCTTGTTGCGTGATAATCACGTGCCCTCGAAACTGTTCCGCAATGTAGAAACTCGGCAAAACGACGTTGAGCCAAATCCTACAACCTTGTCCATGTAACAATGCCGTTTCACCCCCATAAACTGAGCGAATAAACCTCCTTCGTTCATAACGTCGTTCTCATCATCCATGTCGAAATCACAAACCTCGTGACATTGTTTTTTATCACACGACGCCGCTCACCAATATCGTGGCATCGCTTTTCACTAATCAATGTCGATCCCATCAAACAATGTCGTTTTCCATTCCGCGACATTGTTCTCTAGTTTCTACCAAACAGTCACGTTTTTCTCGTCTTGCGGTGCCGTTGGGCTTACTCGCGGTATCGTTTCCTTCCCCAAAACGACTTTGTTTGCTTTTCCTTTCGCGACATTGTTTTTTATTAAACACTATCGTTTTCTTATCCGCGGTGTTGTTGATACCTCTTGCGGCATCGTTTTAATTAAACGACACTGTCCTAAATAATCATTAAAAAATATTAATTAATTAATCCGGCCATCACTAGTCAAACTTGTGTGTTGACCAACGACATCATTAGCGCCAAAACGACTCCGTTTGCTTTTCCTTTCGTGACATTGTTTTTTATTTTAAACACTGTCGTTTGCTAGTACATTGGTACCGTTGGGCCTACTCCCGGTATCGTTTTGAATTAAACCACACCGCCTAACATAATAAAAAGAAACACCAACGTATTAGATTGCCGAGATTTTGCACGTTTGGGCTGGGCGGATTTTTGGGCCAATCACCTACCCGATATGGTTTTTAATTAATCGACACCTCAAGGCCTCTATCGGTATCGTTTTTAAATCCGCGATACCGATTTAATTCTCCGTGATGCCGCTTGTCTCCATGCGGTATCGCTTCTCCCCTTCCGACAAGGAATAAAAATAAAAACAATAATAAAAACTCCTTTTCCAACACCAATACTAAATGTGCGGCCCCCATCCTGTTTTCCGGTAAACAATATCGTTTCCAGTGCCGCAGTACTGCTGAGCTTCCTTGGGGTACCATTTTTTATTTTGCGGTATCGTTTTAACTCTCCGCGATGCCGCTTAACTCCGAACGACCCTGTTTTTTTTATTCGCGGTATCGAATTAAATGCCCAGACTAATTAATGCGGCATTTAATTCAGGCCAAAATAACTTTAGATGTCAACACCAATTAACCAAATCGAATAAATTTTAGATTGGTTAATTTGGTTATTGTAATAGTTTGGACGGTTTAGTTATGATATTGTATTCCATGGGTAATAGAATTGTGGCTTGTTTGATTTGGTAATTACCATGGCAACCATTTGAACACCCCTGCCTGCAATGAGCGAAAGTAGGTTGGATGAAGTTATTGGAAACCAAACAACATGTGAAAAAAAAAAAAAACACTCAAAGCATGCACAAAATCTTTAACGGATCATCATTCTAGATCATCAGACACTGATGCAGCGATGAAGGAATGCACTTGTTGGCGTGGATCCAATCCCGGCCAAGCAGTGCGTTGTAGCTTATCATTCCATCAACCACGAAGAAGCGCTCATCCGCTTTTGTGATCCAACTCCCACGACGACTGGGAGGATTCCCCTGGCCGAAGTAGAACCGCCATTGAAGCTTATCACAAACACTTCCGTTGGAATCAAGTTATTAGTACTCTTGCCCAACTTCCTCAACATCCTTGTTGGCATCACATTTACTGCAGCGCCATTGTCAACTAAGACTCTCGACTTTGGTATGTCATCCAGTGTGGCCTTGATGTAGAGGGGTCTCAAATGACGCAGCATCTTTGGCTCAGGCTCGTTGAAAACAACGACCCTGTTTGATTCTTCACCGGTGGTTCCTTCGTCCACAGCTTTCCCCTTCGCTTCTGCAGCACAGGTAGATTTATCCCCTTCGTCGAACTCTGATCTCCACGTGATGTTCTCCACTGGCACACTTGTTGTCTCTTTCGGGCTTTGATACAACACGTAAACAGGATATCTTCCCCACCTTCGCCTAGTAGCCCAACAGCCCTGTTGCATGCTTCATACAACTCTTTCAGGATCCGCCGCGAACTCTTGTTCTGCTTCGCTGACTCTACTGCCAAATCGATTCGGCCTTTCGTGCGAGCTATCATTACACTCCAAGGCTCAGCCTCGATTGGAAGATCCGCAAACTCGCCAACCAGCTCTGCCGCTGATGGCTCCTCATTCTCCTCCTCTAAAGTCAGTTGAGCAAAACCGCTCACTAGCTCAGCAACATTGACCTCTTGAGAAGCTTCGTCGACCTCTTCAACCTCCATCACAACCTTGCCATCCTCTCCCTGATTTTCCAAATCAATGTGGAAAATCAAGGCAAGATGTAGTTGTTCACCACCACCGGTGGTAGAGTTCCAAACTAGATCGTCATGGGTGCACCGTGGTTGTCATCATCGTCATCCTTGTTTTTACGATCAAATTTCGACTTTGCCTCCTCCAATTCCAGCATATACTCTTAGATACAGGTGTCATCCAAATCAGCATCGTA